AATAAGCGCGCCGTTCGCTAAGCGAACGATCGCCTCTTCTCGCTTGCCATCCTCGCAAACCGACTCATAAAAAGTCGCTGGACTCTTTTTCAGAGCCGCGAGTTTCACAAAGTATTGTAATGCACTCAAATCAACGAGAAGAGTCATCACTTGGTCATAGCTTCGTACTCGAGCGCTATAGACCAAAAGGGTTGAGGTCCGACATTTCGGTACCTCAGGGACTATGCTACCCATTTGTTCGATCACTCTGAACTTAGGGGTAGCTTCAGAGTCCGCAACAGTAGGGCATCCCGCCCCTAATGCGCTCCCGCATTTCCCGACCCATCTTGGGCAGGTGCTGAACCTGTGCGCGTGCACGCTGGTTTTTCGCACCTCTCTTCGGGTTGGGAGACCTTTTGCTGGCTGCCTTAGCACCAGCAGCTACTTTGGCATAGCAGCGAGCCATCATATGGGATCGCTTGCCGCACTTGTAGCAGACTATGTCTGCATTGCTTAACTCCATAGAGTGGCATCTGACCTTTCGGTTGAGGGCCTGTAATAGGCTGTCACCGAGGCGCTGTTGTAGGATTTCTCCTCAACTAAGGCAATGTCAATTGCCTCTTCCATCGTCGCTGGCACCTTTCTGAAAAGGGCCTGACGCGATGGGCCATGCCTAAGTCCATTCATGAACGTGGCTACCTTGATACGCTCTGGTATCGGTTCCCCATTGATGGACGCCGACAGCGAACGCATCTCCTGCACAAACTCTTGCAGAGATCGTTTCGCCTGTCGTGCTCCAAAGAAGCGCGCCATAAGCAACACTTCGTTGTTAGGCGGATGATACATGGCGCGAATCTTTGCCGTAAAGATCGCCCATGATGGAAAAACATCAGCGTTTGCCATAGGTGCAGAGTTTACCCACTCTGACGCTTTGCCACGCAAGTTGGACATGGCATACGACACAATCCTGGTGTCGTCTTCGATGAGCTGCGACATACCGCATCTCTCGACGGCAAAAAGCCAGTAAACAATCGTATGTGGGGCAGTCCCATCAAACTTTAAAGGGTCCATCCGAATGGGTCTTGACTTATTAGACCGGTCAGAGAGCGTCTCTACAGCTCTGTTAATCACACACCTTCGAGCAGCGTGAGGAATCGGTTAGACTGTCTTACCTCCGCGTGCGGCGGTGGTGGTGTTAGTCGGCGCTTGAAGCACAGAACAAATCGTTGCCGGTCGCTGTAAGCGAACCGCGCAACGAAATTCTAAGAAGCACTTCACTTACGACACGCAGAAGCTTATTCAGCTTCTCGTGCGCAGAGACGGTAATTAGTAAATTGAGGACTGACTTATATTTTATAGAAATTCTCTAAGTATAAATACATACTGATTGGTCTAATGTAAAGATCGAATACGCGACTCTTTAGAAGCGTATGTTTTGTGCGAGCTTCAAATATATTTAAGCTCGCTGATGACGTCTGTCTGAAGCGTCACCATGACTCCTAGTCCCAACTACGCGTCATCCCCGTCAAATGTGAATCCATTTATGAATATCACATTCACGAGGGTAAGTCACATAGATGTGGCGCGCAGGCCTAAGGTACCTCGTACCCTTTTAGGCCTGCCCGTTAAACATTCGATACTTAACGAACCCGTGTTACTATTAGCTCGTTCCAAAAACCAACACGCTTTTACATCTTGTACGAGCATTTAGCCATCTTTGCAGGCTTCATGTCCAATCGGCACAGATTCAGCTGCTATGTATGAGTAGTGGGCACCAACTTTACCGGATCACTCAGGGATTTTGTACCTCGTCACTCCTGTGTCTTTTCTATAAATTATCTGGAACACTATCACTTGTTACCTACGCCACACTGTGCCTTGTGAGAATAAGAGTTAGACGAGTCTATCGTGGTAGCAGGATGTGTCATGTAGATCCTAAGCTAGCATCGCTAGCATCTCGTCCGGTAGTTGTACGAGACATGTCGTCTGCGGTGACAGCTCTAGGGGTTGTGTGGGTATGACACGTTATCATAGCATCTGACAGGTTTTTTTTATATTGTGTAGGTTCACCAGTACCCTCGCTACGCTACGGCTCGAAGTTGTCTCATGCTGGTTTCCTAAAATTTATGAACGCTGCCGGCGTCTACTTGCTAGACGTCACCCGATTGCGTTGTGTCCACAAGCTGGTGATGCAAAAGCTGCTCAGGATGTGCCATTCGCTTTTCACACGGCGACGTATGTGGCCACCTCATCTGGGTGATTTCTGGTGAGCTCTTAATGGACCACCTTGTATAAATTTGGCGCGCTTCTGCTTTCTTTGTTTGTAAGGAAGCACGAAATAATTGCATCCGCACAGTGTGGCGCAACATCTTTTGCCAACGATGATTTATATGAGCGACGCTTTCATGAGCTCATGAAGAAATGCAGCTTCGGCATTAGTGGCGTCAAGGTGGACGAGACAAGATCACCAAAGCAACTTGCAGCTTATATCATGGCGTTGTATAACACCCTGTATCTTCTGCAACTCATGCTCTGCTTCCACGCAAGACACATAATGTATTTTCTTCCTACATCAGTATAATGACCCGACAAAGGTTCACCAATATCATACTTGGCTCCTCGACCGAGACGGTACATCGGTATCGCACTTCGACACGGGTATAGCGGGTGGGGTGGCTACAGTCTCATCTATGGCTGCTTGCGATACCGCAGCGTGTCTGGACAGTGGAATTACTGTCCACTTTGGTGCGCATCCAACGCTTACGCGTGTTGTACACCTATGGGCTGGCCGTCGAAGATGGAGGCCGCAACGACGAAAATTCAAAAAGATCATTTCCCGCAGGCGAAGTGATGAAGGCAAACGCATTTGCGACGAACGCGTGAAGAAGCCGGACTTCCAAGTGATTGCAGCAGGTACATCTCTGATCGAGTGGAGAGACATCCGTAAAATACGGGCTTCTTTCCCGACCAACGCGCAGACGCTTTATCGCCTGAAGAGTAACAGCTTCCCGCTATGGAATTGGGCTAATCAAGATCTATCTTGCCCCGACCCAGCGTGTCCGACATCCTTACTGGCCATGGCTAGTCATGTATTCTGGAATTGCCCTAGCGCTCGGCGTCATTGGGGTTATCTACTTGAACGGTGGCGAAAGCTAGGCGATTTGGAGGAGGCGGACCTTCACGTCTGGGTGTTTGGCATGGACCTTCCGAGTATTCCGAGTTCTGCATGGAATGCCATTAAAAACGCTATCGAACCCAGTGTAGATTTGTCTCGAGCGAAGGACGCCGTTTTTCCATCAACGCGTGAGCTCTGGCGTTTTCTCGTTTCTACGACACTACATTCCATCTGGGCTGAGCGTCTCCGCCGCTTGGAAGACTCACTTTTGCCACAGGAAGTACACGACGCAAGAGCAAGGACACAATTTCGACGAGCGGTTACACGGTTTCGAAGTTCAACATATCAGTCGGACATGGGGGTAGACGGATACCTATTCGCACGAGTACGGTCGGCGCTTGTTGATACCCTCATCGGCTTTGACAATCCTCCACCCTTGCGAGCGCTGCCGCTTGACACTCTATCTGGGGTTTTCTACCTGCTCTTCTTCGACGGGGGGTCAAGAGGAAATCCTGGACCGGGCGGAGCAGGTTCCGTCATTGTCCAACTTCACATTCAGACGCACGCAGCATGCGTCGTGTGGGTATCGAGCATGGCTTACGGTTCTGCAAATACCACGAACAATGTCGCTGAATACTGGGGGCTCGTGCGCGGGCTTCGACAAGCGAAGGTTAGCGTCTCCATGTCGTGGGGGACAGTGCGCTCGTGCTTTCGCAGCTTCGGACGCACCATCCTCCACGCAAGCCACACCTGGCCCTTCTTTTCCGAGAGGCAAGAGCACTTGCTGACGATATCGATGTCTCCAGCTGGGGACATCACTATCGCTCATACAACAAAATGGCGGATCGACTGGCGAATATCGCTATGGACACTGGAGCCTCAATTCAAATGCACGCTTCCGCTGAGGAAGGTGTTGTCAAGGAGGCTTCGGCATTCCTTGACCATGATGTCAACCACTGGCTGGAGGCCTCTCAAGCCGACAACTACGAACCTCAGGGACCCGCTATGACGCCACGGAACCTGATCATCTCGAGACAAGACTCTGCGCGACGACGCTCGGCTGTCCGAGGACTAGTTATACCTAGTACTTAAAGTAGAAGTCGCCACGGTAACTCTGTTACCTGTCGACAGGATATAATGGGTCGTACGCGTACTTAAATATACCTCACCGTCTCATCTCATCATCTCTACATCAGTATAATGAATGATACATATTGTGAACGCAATACATGCGCTTCAACTACGACTTCTGACATGAACAACCAGCAAGTAGTGACGGCTCTAGCCGAGCTGCTTCACATTGTTTGCTATTGCATTCACTTAGCAAAGCTAAAGTTAGATAAATGCCTTGCACTCGCGTCTATCTTTACATTCATTGTCGAATTGTATGAACCCCTCCAATGATGGGAGACCGCAAAGCAGGGGAGCCGAATTTGTCAAGTGTCACAGTGGACCTTAATCTATGTGTGGCGAGTCAGCTTAATGAACATGCGGTTCAAAGTGTGGGCTATATACTAGTCAAGGTACTCGTCCTCATCCTACGTCGTCTACACACCGACTCTTTCGTAACTCCCCGTCCAAAACGTCAAACACGGATTATCAGTAAACCTGCGCTTATAACGTTTGTTATAGTCTCTTTACTTATATGAAGCATATGTAGAGCATGTGTAGAAGAAGCGTTAAGCTGTCAACACATGTCTCGGAAATTTTGTCCTGTCAGTCGCTAGACCACTTTATCAACTACACTTTCGTTTCTTTACAATGCATTCAGCTGTTCTGGAAGAGCTGTCAATATGTTTTATGTGCCGACCAGTCGATGTTACTGTAGAAAAGCTAATGTAATTGTTCGTTCTCACTTGGCTATCCGCTTCCAAACCCTCAGAACTCCATCAAGATATTTTCAAGTATGATCGCCAACCCCAACCCAAACCTGCCAAAGCGTTTGCAGTGGTACATAGTGCTAGCAGCGCTGACATGCGTCAGTGCTAGTCCAAGCACTGTCGAGCCAAAGACCATTTTTGCTGGTTCTGCTGCTCTGAAACAACCACTTGGTGTCGTCGGCCAAAGCGATGCGCGAGTGAAGCGGTATTTGAGAAAAAACTCGGATGCGACGGAGAGCATGGACGACGAGAACGAAGACAGAGGTGGCAACTTAGGCTCCGCCGTAGACCAAGGTTTAGCAGGCGCCATCGACTCGGTCGAGGGTGGTGTCACCTCTGGAGTATCCGCCGCCATAGACCAAGGTTTACCAGCAAAGGTTGGCGAAGCTGGAAAATCTGATGTCATTCCTGGAGATTCCGGCACAAACCACAATCCAGCAGCAAAGGTCGAAGAATCGATCGAGGCTGGTGTCATCCCTAGCGTTCCAGCCAAAGTTCACGATCCAGCAGCAACGGTCGGTAAAGCGGTCGAGAAGACGGTTAACTCAGGGGCTCGCGTCATTCACAAACATTTAAGAAACAGGTTTAAGATTTTAATGGGTGACCAGATCGAATTTTACAAAAAGGAGGGAAACCTGTTCAAGAGTGACCAATATACGACGTGGTCTAAACTTGTGGATAAATTGTCCAAACTGAAATCAGTGGGAGGAGCCGATTGGGCTGAAGAAACTAAGGTTTCAACGCTTCTAAGTATATACGGGGAGGACGATGTGATAAGCATGCTAGCGGCCGGAAGAAAAGATTCAGATACGAAAAAGATTACCGACAAATTGGAAATCGTTCTGCTGAGCAAGTGGGTTTCAGATGGTAAGGAGGGCAAAATCATGGACCTGCTAACTATTGGCAGAGATGAGAGTGAAGTTTTACTAGGTACCTCTTTGGACATATGGTTTCATCAATTGAGAGAGATGAAGGAAAACCCATACGAGGAGTTTGTCACGCAATTTACGAAGCGCTACAATGACAAAAAGCTAGTAGAACTGCTTGTTGTGGCGAAAGCTAATAAGAAGACCAGGAGTAAGGCAAATAGATTGGCGAAGCATCAGCTGAAGATCTGGCAGGAGAGAGGCATAGACGTGATCCGCAGCTATGAGCTCCTTGAACTCAACAAAGAACATCCAGATACGCTTTTGAGAAATCCGATGCTGAGCACGTGGATCAATTACGTTGAAATGCTTGGACCGGATCCATATGAAGTGTTAATTTTGGCGATGAGGAAGCAAGTGGGTGACAAAAAGCTAGACTCGATTCTTGCTGCGGGTGGCAATAAGCTAGATTCGATTCTTGCTGCGGCAAAGGTCGATGACACTAATGCGAGGATTCGGCGGACCCTGCTACATATGCAAGAGAAGCATCAATCTTGGGTGCGCCTACAGGAGTATCCACAGGCGAAGAAGTGGAGGAAGAATGGGAAAAGTGTCGGTGATGTACTTGATCTTCTGAAGGTCCAACATAACGGCGAAGAGATGCTTGGAACTAAAGATTGGGACGCGTGGGTTGCGTATGTAACTTTCTTGGAAAAGCAAAAACAACCAAAAGATCAAAGTGAGACCGCAACGGTTATATATGCAGTGCTGAAGAATCGATTTAGCAGTGAAGGTCTAGCCAAGTTGGTCGCCACAGCCAAAACTGTCGAGAGTACCAAGGAAATTGCCGGAAAATGGGAGCGTAGCGAGTGGCATATTGCACAACGAACTTCGGACGACGTTTTCAATTTTCTGGAACTAAAGAAGAAGGGAGATGCGATATTTGAGAGTCCGGAATTCGAATCTTGGGCCTTATATGTCATAGAATTGAACAGTGTCAGAAGCCGCAAAGACGACGTTGAGCTTGCTTATCAGCTGTACAGACACTACGGTCCCGATGTGGAAAGAATGCTCAAGCAATCAGAAATGATGGCCAGTGAGAAAAACGACGAATTCACGAAGGCGATCGCCATGATGCTGCTGGAAGTATTTGAGAGGAAGAAAGGACTCAAGGAGAAGGGACTCGTGGGTAGAAGATTGTGACAAAGCTTTGAAACAAGGTACACAAATCGTGCGTCCACATACAAGCTCTTTGTTCCGGTAAACAAGCTCCCAAACGAAGAAAATGCTGGACAATTCTTAGTCGAAATTGAAGTTGGTGTGACCAAGCGTCGATACTACAACAGAAGAATGAGGTAATTTGATCAATGTGAATCTACGTGTTTTCAATTGCCTTCTTTTTTTAATGCCTTGAGCGTTTCTTTACATGCGATTTGTAGTGTCTTTTCAGCTGCGAATATACACAAACTTGCCATCAACGGCTTTCTTGCAGTCGTTCGTCTACGTCACAAATGTGGCCAGGAGTAACATTCCCGAGCTACATCCCCTTTCGCAGTTTGACTAGTGAACCGACACACGCTATTATTTAATTTTTCGGCAGTACTCTTGGTCCTTGCTTGCAACAGTTTGAGCGATAGTGACCAACTCTACTCGCAAAATCGCTTCATCAGTACTAGGAATCTTAGCGTTGCAGTTTTTCCTTGTATTTCTAAAGATCACGTCGCATTTCAAGTATGGTCATATGAAAGAATCACGTGTTTCATAGTGGACTTCTGAACATCTTTTCTTTAGTGTGCATCAGCACGAGATTATCGACAAAACTTCTTCGACGACTTCTCCAGCTGTGGATGCTCCGTGTTCTTTACAATGTTCGCATTGCGTACTCAGCACCAGACTGTCACAAGTATAGATGAGTCTTTTTCCTTGACTTGAAGAGTTAACGATATCAAGTTCATGTTCAGCCACTTCTACAGCCGACCTTTTCCAATTTAGCTACAATTTTCTGCGCAGGAACGTCGCCTTCGTCACCCCACACCGTTTTGCTTGCCTTTCGTATCTGAAGTGCATCACAGTTTGCAAACACCAAGTCTAGTAATGGACTTTTAGCTTTTGACAAGCATCCTGCAGACGCTATCGTAGTAATCGCTCTCGCAACTGGAGTGGTCATGTCTGGAAGGATGTCCACCAACAAAGCTCAGGTCAACGAAAATAAGGCAATGATAGGGTCACATACATGATGGAAGCCTCCTATGAACACAACCTGACACCACAATTGTCATTACTTAACTGATTGCTTCCTGGACACGATAGCACCGGAATGCTTGACAATTGAGGTGGGGCGCAACCTAGTAAAGACAAAGGATGTAAGCATCAATTCCGCCAAACTTTTGGGTTTGAAGCCGACCCTGCGATGCAGAGGTACAATGGCGGCAGCAATGTAGGGAGGTCGGTAGATTGGTTCAGGATCTCCAGTAGCGGCGTCACCGGAGAAAAATTAACCGTGGCTTTAGCAAAGAACCTTGAGGAGTGTGCTGATCAAAATGACGGATAAATCTGCGTAATTGATGCTACACAGATTCCGTGCAGTGAGCAAGAAGCAGGTATAGATCCGGTATAGATAGCAGGTAGAGATCCAGAAACACATAAGCTTCTGCTCTTCGAGAACCCGTGAAGACGAATGAAGTGTACAAAGGCTTCGCCATTTGGCAGAGAAGTTATTTTTGCACATAAGCGCTAAAATCTAAGGCTTGTCCGTATAGATGCCAGCAAAGATGCATCTTGGTAATCGCCAGCGGTGCATGTCGTAACGTGACAACATTCAAAACATCCGAATCGGACATTACTATCCATTGCCGATGTCTAAGAGTCATATTCCAAGCATCAACGTAAGGTCAGACAGTAAGTAGATATAGAAGACCAATTTTTGTGGAGCAAGCACCTACGTTAGTAAGGCAGTGACGGATAAATAGCGCTTGTTGGCCTCTATCCTTGCAATCAAGTCACTTTTTACTGTACCAGCTACAAGTGCATCATTTTTGTGGTTGAAAAGCAACATCATGTCAATTGATTTGTTTCATGAGCAGAAAGGTGCTTTGGTGGCTACTTTTCATAGTTTTTCATACGAAGATGTTGAATGCCTTCTTTCTAGGGAGGTTTGCTTTAAAAATGTAGTAAAAAGCCATTTCGTAATTCGAGCAACAACGGCCAAGAGACGAAGACCTCCAAAAGAGCCGGTCAATCGGCCCCCTCTGACCAAGGCGGTAAGTCTCTCCAACGGGAGGCCCAGGATATAGAGGGGGGAGGTTTTCCTCTGCTGCGTGCGCTATGGGGGGCAAGCGCAGCGTGTGAACCGTAAGGAGAGCACCAACCCTGTCACCTTTGGGGGGAAAGGAACGACGACCGCGGTTATCATTCCTTTCTTTCCCGATAATTCCTGCTATTTTACGTCAGCCTTCAAGCCGCCGACTCGATCGCCGAGCGCGAATCCCGGTCTCACGAAGCGAACTTGCCAAGAGCGTGAATTGATCGGCCCCGTCGAGGTGCATCAGCGGTCGATCGGAACTGATCGGTGTGGTGCCCGGCGCATGTTGCGATCATTGAGCCACTGTTTACACCTCGGGCTGAATAACCGATTCCACGTGCCCTTTACGGAGTGTCCCCCGTGACGCCCGACGTCTCGAGCCAGCAGCAGCGAGGCGAAGAATGACGAAGTCCTGGTAGAAGCACTCCAGACATCTTACCAATCCTTAATGTTTGAAAGAGACGGCCTATTACTACAAAAAATGTAGTGAAGAGCTCAAGTAGCCACATATACTCTTTCTATAGTATCAATTATGACATTGTGATTCCTGGCTTTTTCCCTTTTATAAGATGTAATACCAAACATGTCCAGTACGGATACGAACACTTACCCGCTTAATAACATGTAAATTGACAGTTTTTGCTAGCTGTTCACATAGCAAGACGACAAAGACATCAAGTTGTTTACTTGCGTTCGTGTCTGCAGCCACCAACCAGTACATACTGCTGTAACAGATAATGAGCTCATGCGCAATAGGCTTGGATATTTCCATTCTTTTTTACTAGCTCCATAATACTTCATCATTTAGCTAGCAAATAAATGGCTCTACGTCATCGTAAGAAGAGTAAGGGATAAAGAGGACCCAAAAGGCTTTCATCTGGTCGTGTCACCCGTTCAGGTTCGCCAAGTTTATGTCTAGATACATGGCGTTGAGCGACATGTGTGTCGTACCCGTGTGGACATTTTGTGTGTTTGTAAAACCTAACGCGACGTCGTTGCGCTCGTCATCATGCGTATGTATGCAGAAGACGACAGCTGATCGTTCAGCACAAATGCTGTGTTCCCGCAAATGGATCGAAGACGCCGAGCACGAAGTTCAGTACAGATACTAAAAAAAGTAAAAAAGGTTGATGCATCAGCTACTGAGCTGCAGTGCTAGTGGGCCCCAACTTTACCGGATCACTCGAGGATATTTTTACCTCGTCACTCCTGTGTCTCTTCTATGAATTGACTGAAACGCTATCACTTGCTACATACGTCACACTTTGCATAGTGAGAATAACAGTCAGACGAGTCTATCGTGGTTGCAGGATGTCTAATAGATCATAAGCCTGGTTAGCAACGCTGGTGCTCGGTCGCATATTTTCCCTTAATGACCGCTTGCACGGTCCTTCGAACATTATAAACACGATCACCGAAGCGATGATGCGTGGCGCGGGGATGCTACCAGTCGTAGGGATTTTATCTTTAATCAAATGTCCGCACGACCGGTAGCCGCGCGAGATGCATGCCCGAGACATGACTTACCCACGTCGGTTCCCGCGACGGTGGATTCCCGCCGAAGGGATGTGCTAATGCCACGATGTGCATTGTGACCCTGTGGCGGGAATGCGTCGAGAGCTAATCCGAACCTCGCTCGGATTTGAGAATGTCGCTTTCACGACATCTTAAGAAAGTTCTTTCTCTGAGAAACGCCACGCTTCTCATTGTCCACACCGAAACGTTTACCACATTATGAACTTGCTTTGTCTTGTATGTTAAGTATTAATGAGATTTTGCCATGAATACTGGTAGTCATTGTTTGACAAACAGCCGATCTTGTCTTGTAAGATCGCATTACTTTCACTCGGAAGTCCAATGACGGTTATTTTTAAAAAACTGTCTACAACATCGAATTCTTAGAGGTTCCTTCAAATAATTGTGCTCCTCGTTTATGTATGGTGTGTGATACAAACAATACACGTACGTCAATCATCATCGTGTGAAATCTTATATCTTGTAGATTATAGTACTTAAATTTATAGATAAGCTCACAAATTGTCTGTCAAGACATTGACAGTAATTTATACTATCTATTATTTTATACATACCTGTCATTCTTACTCACATACCTTATCGTACATGTGACAATATGTTTACGCTTATTTCAAGATCGTGAACTTACGCCCGTATACTGTGTTCAGAACGTGACAGGAAGGCTCAACTGACTTCATTTCACAACCTGCAGTCTAGCTCATATCCGTCTAGCTCATATCTCTTTAGAAATTTGTCACAATAATGAATCATTGCATTTTTTTGCGGCCCCCAAGTGGTCAAAATCTAAGTGACGATATTGTAGGGGGTGTGCTACAGCGCAGCAAGTCATACCGCTCTAGCTATGTGACACGAGATCAACAAACAAGCTCGTCTGAAACTTGGAATCGACGTTGTGATTTACCTGCGGCGGTGGACCGGGAGTTTTCTTTAGCGGAAAGAAAGAGGAAGAGACAAGATTCCAATGACTCTTTCAGCTCCAATGCAAGGCTACTCGCTATTTCTAGCAGCGACTTGCAACCTCTTCGACCGGAACATCGGTTTGAAAGAGGTGAAGAGCAGCAAGCTGTGATAACGGAATGGGTTCAATCGCACATTGCACATCAACGGGAGATTCGTCGATTGAGACAAATCCGCTATCGAAGGAAAAAAGAAGAATACACGGCAAGTCTTGAGGAGGGAAACCATCAGCTCCGAAAGGAGATTGAGAAACTACAAGAACGTCATCGTGCCATTTCCGCTGCTGTACCAAGTAAAAAGACTCCTTGGAATGTTGTAGTCGAGTATTTTCGATTCTTTCGTTTTGGGTATCAAAAGCCCACCCCAACCCGCGAATCTATGAAGAATATGCAGACATCTGCACAACTCACTTTCTTGCAAACAACAATGGCACCAGATGTCGTGTTTAATGCAGGACATGGTGTGGAATCGATTATGACAAATTGGGAGTATTTTACGCTGTGGTTCCAAGACGTCGAGATTGAGCTAATCGGGTTGGTAAAAAGTGGGGTGGGCTCCTTTATAGCCTCAATCACTACCAGTTTTACAATTACTGAACGTTCACTCGACCAAATTTTTCCGAGCTTGATTAAATGTAGAGATAGCGAGGGCTTGCCACTTGGTCCGAAGCTTTTGGGGCAGCGGATTGTCATGCGTGGATCAACGCGATTTGATTGGGATTATAGCTATGGTCGAGTTGTGAGCGTCATCAGTGTGTCGGATATGCTCACACCAATGCTCAATATCTTTGGTTCCTTAGAGGACGTGTCGCAAGTCTTTGAAAGATCGCTGATATCTTTAACTCCAAACTGCGGACTGCAGTGGGCACTGTAGAAGTATCGATTTCGATAGTTTCGATCTGATTAATTTGTGGCATATAGCGGTGTCAAACCTGAAGTTATTGTTGTAGTAGGTCAATATTTTCTAAGTTTCTCTTTGGCAATGGTAGATCATCCCAGAGTTCGTACCTTTTGGAATACATGTACTTCTAGATTAAAGTTACAGAAATTTGTACATGTTTATTAGAAAATGGTAGAGTAATGGTTTATTGAGATCCATTGTAACTATCACTAGCTTGTTTCAGCTTGAAAAAAAGGCCAAAAAAATCCGCGACTACTCTATTCTTGTCTATATGCCATCCTGCTACAACTTGATAAGCTGCGCACCGTAAGCCGCAGCAACGTAACTATCAGCAACTCAGACAACTTTTCGATCTTTTGACCAGCTCACTCTCGATAGACGTCACTAAGAATGTCAGACGCAATTACTAAGAAGCTTTTGGAAGAGATCGCACGGTTTGAAGCAGACCTCAAAACACTTAACGCCTCTTGTACTACGTCCGAAGCTGCCAAAAAGTGAGCTTAGCAGCACCTTCACGCCTGTCATACAAACTTACTTACTTGCTGTCTGATCCAGGATCGCCGAGTATTGTCAGAACACAGCAGATCCATTCCTCGGTGAAAACGACGGCGGATCAAATCCATGGCAGCAAAGTGGCCAAAGCGGTGGTAATTGCAACATCCTGTAAATCAGGCAACAGCTTCTTTATCATCTTTCATCTAAATCTAAAAAAAGCAGGACAAAATCCATTACAGCTCCTCCTTGGTATTAACTGGCAGTCTATATTATATACCTGAAATACTTGCGCCTTTTGTTCGAGTTATTTCTTGATGACAGGCTTGCCCCCTTTCTTGTCGGCATTCAGAAACACTTCGCCCTTCTTGCCTTCAAAACCAGCACGCTGAATAAACAAAACAGTGTTAATTCACATAACAGTTACCCTGTCCTCACAACATTTTGCACAGCACATACCGGTCCTCTGCGGCCTTTCTTTTCTGCAGGCTTAGCCGCATCCTTTTTGCCGCGTTCAAAAGCATTGGCCACTTTCTTCTTCTGTCGTTCCTTTTTTAAAACCTCGAGCTTTGACGTACGTTCCTTCCACTCCTTCGAACTCTTCGCTTTCGCCTTCTCCTTCTTTTTAAGCTTCGCACGCAACAACTTTGGGTCATCCATCACGACATTGCCTGCAGCTTGTTGAAGCGCTGTATCCCAGCCCTTAACTTTTGCCTTCTCAGCTCCCCCCTCCGTCTTCTTCAGCTCCTCGAGGCGTTGAGCATTTCGCTCAGCCTTCTTCAAAAGATTCTGAATACCGCGCACACTTTGCCCATGACGAGTCTTGGGTTTGTCGTCCTTTTCCGTTCCATCATCAAGCAGCAAACTACCGTATGAAATGGACGCCGTGTCCACCGTCGTTTCCGCCTTCTTCTTTGCAAAGGCCTCACCTTCAGCCTTAGCAGCAGCCTCCTGCTCACGCTTCTCCGCCTTGACCTTGCTCTTATTAGCGGTCGTCTTGCGTTTCTTCAAAGCACGCTGTTCAGCCACAGCCTCAGCGCGAGAAGGACGTTTCTTGCCCGTCTTCTCCTCTGCCTTACGCTGCTCGCGCATCGCTTGTATTTTAACTGCCAGACGAGCACGAAGTCCGTCAAGACCGCCCTCCTCCTTCGCTGCACTGGGCTTAAATGGCTTGACCTGCGCCTGCTGCTTCTTTTCCAGCTCTTCAGCCGCCGCAATGATCTTCTGTCGCTCCTCATTGCTTTGCTGTGCGTCTGGGGAGAATTTTGCACGCTTTAAAAGGTTCTTTTTGGACGATTCCAATTGCTTTTGAGCCTGCACGTTCTATAAGGATACGAAGAGCCCAATACCAATAGTCAGAAACGATCCCGACTTCGTACAGATCCCAAGAAATACTCATATAACGCGACAGGCAATTGTACGCTAGAGGTAGCGCTGATATTGGTCCTAGAAATCTCACCTTATGGTACTTCTTGGGTGCAGTCTTTTTCCAATTGACCTCGGCGTCTGTGGGAAAGTAAAACGCCGCGGGAATGTTTTCCATTGTATCACAGAAAAAGCGGTCATGCGCTTTCAGTGTAACTAACATCTCATCGTCCTGCGTTATTAAATCCTGCGTTGTCATTTGTAGCAGTCGCCGTCCCAGCAACATGGGACTCGTCGTGATCATTGTAGCTACTTGTCCAAATGACCGCTTCCTCTTGACTGGCGGACAACCTCGGACAGTGATGATTGGCTGATAAAACCTAGCGTATTCTCATTGGTTTATACAGACCATGCTCAAGAGTGATGGTCAATTGGTTTCACTTGCCCTTTTTCTCTCACATTGCCACATTTCCCCCCTCTCCATGCAGTGCGGAATCCATTGGCAAGTGCGCAAAAGGACGTTAAATTGAAGCGACATGAAGGCGCTTATGACGCTATGGACGTGGATCACCTTTACCACAGTCTCCTGTTTTGTCTTTGTAAGTTTCTTGCACGTTTAGTATGCGCTGCAACGTATAAATTCAGTGTCTAATGTACCGTTTGTGGCTCTATTTTTTGTGCCTGTAGTCTGCTTACATGACAATCGTGGGTCGTAATGTACGTTATCAGTCGATTTTGTATCAGTTGACTACCCATTTAACATTGTGTTTACATGTATTAGATATATAAAATTATGTTTCCAACGTTCTCCGATAGTCTTAATACGTTAGATCCGCTGTGGGGAGAAGGTCAACCATTGGATGTGACGTGTTACTTGTCTTCTCGCTCCGAATGGGATGATGCCAATGACTTTACGACTAGCACAATCCATGTTGGAACTTTTGAGTCGCTTGTGTTTAACTGGGAGAACTCAAATTTTAGGCATTTGGATCTTAATATCTCGTACTCGATGTTAACGCAGCTAACAGATAAATTCGAGACTGTAAATCAAGTTTGGGGTGCTTTAAAGAGTAATGCATCCGTGTTCCTCCACGTCCACGTGACACACGCTGGGTTCTCACCCAACCCAAAGGACAGCGAGATTTATGACCAATACAGAACCATCCACCAAGCGTCGAGTTTAATCAAATACGCACCGAGACCTAATGCGAAAAACGCGAGCTTATTGTTGGCTCCTTCTGAAGCGCCAAGTGGCTCTCAGCTGACGACACATTGGGAAACATCGACGATTTCCTATTGGAAGCCGGCAGCAAATGTGCGACTTGTGACAGATTTTACGAGATATCCTGTAGAAGAGATACCAGTGATGGTGTACCATAATTTACATTACGTTCAACATCCAATGGATCAACGTTGGCGTTACTTACCAGCACTTTATGTGGATGATCTTTCGTTGACGCAAGATGAATTAGTGCCATTGAATGCAACACTTGATAATGGAAGTGGCGATGAAGTTGTGCTTCCACTGCAACTATCCTGGTCCCCACTATCGTTTGCACGGTGGCAGATGCAACTTACATTTGCCACAGTCTTGTTATCGCAGGAACAAATGGGTGTGCCTTCGAGTGATTTGGATGCTCTTCGCTCCATGGTGACCGACACACACCCGGCACTTCTTGCTGTGACGATGAGTGTCTCGTTGCTACACTTGCTCTTTGACTGGCTGGCTTTTCGACATGATGTGAGCTATTGGCGCACCAAAGGAGACAACGTTGTCGGTGTATCTCTTCGAGCAATGGCGGCTGAATTGGGCTCGCAATGCGTAGTTTTGTTGTTTCTGGTTGACCAAGATTCGACTCTGCTGGTTACAATTCCGCAGTTCATCAGCGTTGTACTTCTCGTGTGGAAAGTTACTAAGGTGTGGCAGGCTCAGCGCAAAATTCAATCTTTTGCAACATTTGATATTGTTGAAGACAGCGCGAAAATAATGGACAAACACAGCCTTCGGCTGCTTGAGGAGACCCAACGCGCTGATGCACTGGCTACATCACACATGTTTTTCGTTCTTGCGCCTCTGGCTGGTGGATACGCTGTGTATTCGCTGATGTATGTCCCACACGCTGGATGGTACGCTTGGTTGCTTGAATCTCTTACTACGACGGTTTACGGGTTGGGTTTTGCTTTTATGCTCCCGCAGCTGGTCATTAACTATCGACTTAAATCCGTTGCGCACATGCAGTGGCGGCTGCTTGTCTACCGTGCGCTCAACACGTTCATCGACGACTTGTTCGCCTTTGTAATCAAAATGCCGACCCTCCACCGCATCTCGTGCTTTCGCGACGACATTGTCTTCATCGTGTACTTGTATCAGCGGTGGATCTATCCTGTAGATGTTAAGCGACTTGAAGACGTTGCCGACGGTGCTTCCGCCTCAGAGGACGCTGTTAGCAAGCCGCACAATGAATAAAGGTTTTTTAAAAAGCATACTAGCTACCCCCTTGTATGGAACTAGACTTGTTGCGATGATTCCACTTAAGACTAACATCTTCCATTAAACCGTTTTAGGCAAGGGATCATTGCAGGCGATCTGTTCAAAATCGAGTATTGACGTCCGGTATGTGGACGCCTTGCAATTTGCAAGCGATCATCGCTCATCACCTGGCGACTTACTAACCAAAGATTTTAGCCAAGCACATGCACAATCGTTTGCACTGGCCAATAATCGACAGATCATTCAGTCTTCAAGTCGGGTGGCAGGTCGAGTGAAAGTGAAAGCAAAACAAGTAACCGGGCCCATGTTTAGATCTTTAATGTGATGAAAGCTGCATTTTGTCTCCTCTGCTCAAACAATGTCATTAAATTCTTAAGGGCTTAAAGTTGATTCGGCCACAAGCCACATCTTGAAATTGCATATAAGTCACCACCAGCATGGCAGCAGGCTTCCACAGCCACATACCCCCCTGTGATACATGCATCATGAATCACCCGGTGGTGGCGACAAGCAGGCCGCGAGCAAGCAATGAAATTGAGGAATGGGTACTATAAGCGAAATGAATACCACATTCAATTTGTGTACTGATAGCATGAGGCATGCATATGCACTAGTCTTTGATTGATCACGAATAGATACAATTGGCGCAGCTGCTTGGTCGTCTACCTGCTTCGATTATTATCCATCAAAATAGAGAAGGAAAATTAACATCGAATACTTGGACTTTGTAATTGTCTTCATCCGAGCGAACTATTGCAGCTGCTAGTCCACAATATCTCCACAGCGAGCAAATCCTCAAGATGTTTCACGTACTCAAAAGTAGTTTTACAGTCTAGCGAGCAGAAACGCGTAGAACTGCAACTTAGCATCGACAGAGAAACGAAGAACAAACGCCCACAATTCAAGCAGTGTGCTTGCCGTTGTCGCCAACTAGAGTCTTGAGTATCGTCGTCGTCGTCAGCATTTCGAGACGTGAATTCTGAGATCATCGACCCAGATACACGTAAATCCATGCTATTGACACTGTAGCGAACAGAGGTCTCCACAGGCGTAGAATTTGGCTGTCCTGACCAAGACTTAGGCCGACTTTCATCCGCGGATGGTCTCCGCTTAAAAAAGAGTGTGAACATACGAGCAGCGAAGCACGGGCGGTGTTCAGTCACGCTGTGAAGTTTGGTCGACGCTTTCATGTTGCTGGTTACCAGAAAAGCTTCCTCCCGTTCCAGTCGTGCTGTAAAAGCCATGGCTTACGTGTTGCTAGCTAGAAAACTAAAAATGAGCAAATAATCATTGCAGAAGTTCCGATTTGAAGGCGGGTATGGAAATGCAGCATCAGTGCGACTTTTTTCAACTTTCTTTTTGCTGTCACTGGGACGTGTTGCGGGGACCTGGCGACTTTCTTCCAGTATCTGAAAAGAGAAAAGCTTTACACCGCATTTAAATCCGTTCCCAACTTTGTGCACAAATTCAGCACGTCACTTTATAGCAATGTATACAGAGAGGCAAGGTGCAACTACATCCAAAGCAAAAAGCTTTTGTAGATTTTGAGAACGCAAATGTGGATTCCGTTTACAGTGTTCAATCGGCTCATGTATTGCTTGGTTTCAAACAAGCGGACAATCAGTGTGCTCTAAAATACTACATGTCCACAGTGTATTGTAAACGCAAAAAAAAGGCTGGGGTCGAGATTATGTTTAGCAGTGGGCAATATGAAAATTGGGAAGGGACTTGATTTGGTACGATCGTCACGTATACGCTAGCGACGTCGCCTCGCATCCAATTTCAGTAAAGAAAGTGCCTGATATACGCAACATGGAAACGTCTAGGCCTTGAAGTTGAATTCGATGGCTATTTAACTATAAAGGACTTGACGTTTCCATGTCAAGTGCAATAGCCTTTTAAAAAAAATGGGGGACGCGATACAAATGTAGCAGCGACCAGGCAATATGACGAGTCTTGACACTAACAAATGCACTATACTTCCGATAACAAAGCTACGAGATTACTTTGTACGTCACTGACTGATCTGATGGGTTGTAGAAGCTAAATCTATGAATTTTTTTAGACCAAGATCAAGTTTTGAACTGCTTTGTATGTCAATGAGTAAAAATACTTGACAAGAAGAGTCTCTTTCATCATTCTATTATCTCCTTTATCGAGTCGCAGCTGTATTACATTTTTTCCGTAGGTACTATGTATGTATGTGAACGCCTTTTGCGAGCCGTCTTGTCACAGAAGTGGCTTAACTTCCGCATGCGTCTGGTTGTCCCTTATTCTCAACAGTTTTCTCTTCTCTCGGCCAAGGTCCATTAAGCGGCACGTGCGCTATAAGCGCTTCGGTAAGAAAAACACTAACGATGCCGTGTGCACTGCTGATGTTACAGCATGATCATACAGTGTTATCCTTTTGAATAGGAACAGTATTAGAAAAAAATCAGCGCCCCGTGCGAATTATCAAGTTGCAGCTTGTTTGGAAAGCATTATAAGATTCACTCACTTCACCTTGTCCAATATAATTGCTGCTGCAACTGATCTCTGTAGTAGTGGCGGCAACTCTATACTTTGTGTATTTGGGTTTGAGGACGATCCAATGTATGATGCCTTTTGACACCAAAGACAATCCTTAGAAGATAAAGAAGCTCAGAAGAACGTAGATATGTTAGCTCCGTTAATGTGATGTTACCCCGCCCCATATTTTGTTGCTAATAAAAATACACGTATGAGCAACTTGCAGTAAGACTTTTTTTATTTTGACTCTGCTCGAAAGCCATTTTCATAAAAAATCCTTATTTGATGTTAAGTTGGTTCCTAAGCAATTTTCTCTATACGTAAGCTCTTCCATGCAGAAGCCCCTTAAGTACACATTTGTCAGTTTTCGTCATTAATAATACCCTCGACAATCACTCTCGTCTCTCTGTGACGTCGAAGTTTGAATGATCGGTGATTGGCTTAATTCCTTCGGCGTCATTGTTCTGCCCTATCCCCTACGTAACGTCGACCACATCATATTCACAACCCGGTTAATTTGTAGTCATAAGCAATTTTTTAATCAAAAGAGGAAGGGACCATCACTCTACGTGCCGTGGGACCATCATTTTGCGTACCTTATGTCCCGTGCTTCTATTGGTGATTATGTCGTAACTAGTAAACTCGGTAGTGGGTCTTTTGCTGTCGTATACAAAGGATATCACAAAACAAGTAAACTTCCAGTGGCGATTAAAGCCCTGTCGCTACACAAGCTCAATCGCAAATTACTGGACAATTTAGAAATGGAAATTGCAATTTTACGTCAAATTGATCACCCAAATGTCGTGAAATTATATGAAATCAAAAAAACCGACAAACATATGTATTTGATGCTGGAATACTGTGCAGGTGGAGATTTACAACAATTTGTACGACGACAAGAACAAAAACAAGGACACAAAGTTGTCTCGGAAGACGTGGCACGTCATTTTCTACATGAATTAGCCAAAGGAATGCAATGTCTATGGGAACGAAATCTTATTCATCGTGATCTCAAGCCACAGAATTTATTACTTGTTGAAGATTCAGCTACCTCGGTCCTTAAAATTGGTCCGTATTCGTTCTTTTATTTTTTCTTGGATTTGTTTGTAAATTATTCTTATTTTTGGGATTTTAAAAAGTGACAATATGTTATTGTTACCTTTTGTAGCGGACTTTGGGTTTGCACGACATTTAGCGACAACATCCATGGCAGAGACGTTGTGTGGTTCCCCATTATACATGGCTCCTGAGATATTAAAATTTCAAAAGTACGACGCCAAGGCCGATCTTTGGTCCGTCGGGACGATTTTATTCGAGATTTTGGCTGGACGTCCACCTTATGGTGGAGCAAATCATGTTCAATTGCTAGCAAATATTGAGCGGCAACCGCTACGCTTTCCACCGACCCTTGAGCTTTCAAAACCTTGTCGTCAATTGCTGGTAGCTTTGCTGCAACAGAAACCGGCACTTCGTCTTGGATTTGATGAATTTTTTGCTGACCCGTTTGTAGATTTGCAACCATTACCGGAACAAGTGGAAGCAGCTGAAGCTGTGCGGCAATCGTCGACAGTGTTGACTACTGCGAGTATTCGAGAAGACGAGGAAGAAGATGAGCATAAACGTTCAGGACGCTGGGATGTTTCTACTGTAGGTGGTAGCTGCAGTTTTGGAGCAGGTGACTATGACGATGTGGATGGAGAAAATGTGGCAGCCTCGCCGGGATCTTGCCGAGGAGGTATAAGTGAAAAGGATCGACAGTCTCGCGTAGCTACAGCTTCTCATGAAGTGAACTCCAGCTCGCGTTTTGCGAGTACAGCACCGTCGGTGACGATGCGGCAGTCACGTAGCGGCAACCTGGAAGTGATGGAGACTGCTTTCGCTAGTGCGAGTTCTGGGCACGGGGCTCTGCGTCGGTCGTCTTCGTCACGACTGGCGCGAAGTCGACGCGCTTCATCTAGCGGTGGTGGGTTATCAGCGGGTACAAGTCCAAAACTTAGTCCGCAAATGAGTCCGCTAATACTGCCTAGTCCAAGCCCAAGAATCAACCCCTTCAAGCAATTATTAGAGTCACCTCCAGGTGCCGCAGCACTTCAGCAGCACCAGCTTTCTCTTTCTGGGTTATCTCGAACTACTACTCCTGCTATTGTTCAACCGACCAGCACCAATGCGATAATGACCACAAAGCAGAAGAGCGTTGGTGGTTTCAGCCATACACTGGAAAATAGTGAGGAATATGTGCTGGTAGATGGCTCAACAGAAAAAAACATTTCCGGTGGACTCACTTTTCGTCCCGGCGTGCTTCGCACAGTGGCACGGGAGGCAGTGAGCGTGTTGCCTAACGTAGGAGATGTGGCAGCAAGAGCGTTACCTTCTGCTTGCGCTAACAACTTCCTTGCTGAAATTACGTTTCGTGAGCGTGGCCAGCAGCTTATCGACATTGCAGTGCTGCGAACTCAAGCGATTGCACCTATCGCTGACCAGCTCTGGGCACTAAGTGCCGCCAGCGATACAGCGTCAGGTTCAGGGACTGGAAGTACTGGTGAACCGGTAGTGGAAGACTGGTCACCTCAACAGACAACTGCTGAACATACGTCCTCATTAATGTCAGACGGAAAGCGTGCTAGCGGCGACAACTTTTCGTCCGTGTTCTCGATGGGTTCATCGCTGACGTCATTGGACGAGATAAGTAATGCACTTGTTGATGATGAAGAAGGAGATGATGAGGACGATGACGAAAAGCGTAACGCTGAACACCGCTATGTGTGCGCTGCGGAGGCGCTTGTGCTCTACGTCAAATGTCTTCGCCTCATACAGAACGTTGTGCTGTATTTGCGTCAAGATGCATTTGTACCGTGTGGAGCTTCGACGGGATCTTCGGGGTCATTTAGGGCTTCAGCGGGATGGAGTGAAACAAGTCGGAAGGTATCTATGGCGTTTCTGTCCGAACAACTTACTCATTTCCTTTGTCGTGCCGAAAAGTGCAAGACACAAATGAATAATGCACGCCTCCGGGCTCCCTCTTGCCCTGTGGCGTCGCATGAAGAATTGCTGTACGCTCACGCTCTTCGAATTGGACGACAGGGCGCCATCCGTGAAGTGTTAGGGCATACTCGAGCTGCAAATGACCATTATCTGCAGGCACTACTTCTGCTAGAAAGTTTGCTTGTGGATACACCTGGTGCAAGCATCGAAGTACTAGCCGTGGATGATCAAAAGAATGTAAACAATCTTTTACACGCGTTTGAACAGCGTTTGAAGAGCGTTCGCACTTTACTCGAGGACGGAGCGGACTCCGATACGAGTGAGAGCCACCACCGGCGAACGCAACATCCACCTCAGTCTCAACACTGGATCACTTCCCACCGTTCTGCTACCGCGCCCGTGCTGTGACGGAGGTCACTACGAGTACGTGACTCATTATTGGATGTACATTTTGATCGGTGCATATCATATCAATCGTCGGAAGAGTATACTAACAAAATAATATCTGCCCTGAAGTCTCGTGTCTTATTAACAATGTCTCCGACTACGACAAGTTCGCTTCATCTGGCTAATTAGCCGACACCATCGCCGCAGAGAATTGCTTAAATGGAGTAGCCTACAGTTTCGGAATCCTTTAGAAGAAGACGTAATGAAATCATGTACTATATGGCATAAAACTCCGAATAATGGCGTCTTCGCGCACTTGTTCTCAGCTCCGTACTCAGAGTCAGAGGTAAAAGTCCATTCGATGCTGTCATCTCCTAGCAACAAAAAGGTCCTTAAACTTCTACTATTCGATGTTTCTAAGTTGTACGATACATCACTTGTTTCGCTGGTTATAACGCCTACTGTTCTATAACTCACTATGCCTATTTAACTGCGTCTTGATCACATTTGCTGATCTCTTTCCACGTCTTCGTCTTTCCTCATCTGTCCATCCGCAAGTGCTATCGCTGCTCTCCCACGTCGCATCCATCACTTCCTGAAACTGATTCATGTACTCGAGATTTGCCTTGCAGTCCAGTGAGCAGAATCGACCAGCAGCACCAGTTAATGATGAGAGGGACGTGAAGAAAAGACGCTCGCAGTTGGCACAGCGCGACTGTAGTTGCCGCCATCGAGCTTCGTTGTACCCGCTGTCAGGAGCTCCTTGACTTTGTGATCGCTGCGCTCGCACAGACTCGGAAGATCGTACTGCAGACGGAGCAGAGCAACAAAGTCCGCTGGAGATTGCGATGTTGGCGCTGGCTTGGTGACATGAAGTCGTTGGAACCGGTCGTCCTGACCAAGACTTGGATCGCTGGTCTGTAATACGTCGCTTTCTGTGAAAGATAAACTGAATCATTCGTGACGCAAAGCTTGGTGACGATGCATCAACTTGTTGAGCTCGACTGTTTTTTGTCGTCTTGTTGGCTTGCCAACAGACAGACTTGGGGTGTTTGCTTCGAATGCGTGATGTAAGAGTCATGATCTGTTGCTACGCTTTGTGTATAGTTGCTTCGAAAACTCGAACTGAAAACTAAGAAAAAGACTCGGGTGACTGAGTCGACTCAATGATCAAATGCCTTGGCCACTTTGGTCGAGATTGCCTCACGGATTGGACTGCAATATTTGCGACGAGGTAAGCAAAAGCTCTGATTCAAAGACTCACTGTGTACCGACTCAGAGCTTGGCTGCTCGACGTCGTATGAGACATCTTGATTGTAGCGTTGTCGTTGATGTCGGTCAGTATCTGATGAGTCAATAGTTACGAACCAAGCGAGCTGCTTTTTCCATGAACCCGTTGTAATCAAAATCAAGTGGAGACAGACAATTATGGCTATAGACCGCTAGACAATGACAGCTGAATTCGATGTGACCTCACTGCTCAATAACATATAGCTGTGTGGTACGACGTGGCAAATTGTGTCGGTAGATCTTTGAATTGCAGAGTTGAGGTTGGTGTCAGTTGGCATCTGATTACAGATCGAAGCGAACTCAAGTACGTTTTTTCTCGTGGTTATAAGCCTAATCACAATCTAATGCAGACAGACAACTACTATGCTTAGATACTGCTGGGAAGACCTGGTCACTGTGTACCGACTCAATGCCACACCGAGCTCGAGCACCGCGTCAGTAACCATGTGTTGACACGATTGAGCCGTTGAGCTTCGAGTCGGTACACGTATGATAATACTTGATGCTCATCACCTAGACGTGGTAGCTTATGTTACTAATTTGTATCGCTGCACCTGATACCCATGGTGCTATTACATGACAGAGCAGCGCGTACGTGGAAACGAATGTTTATGTGTTGAGCACAATCTAGCAAATATGAGGCCCAACTTCGTAGCCGCATGAGTTAGATTACAGCGATATATAGCGGCCATTATAATCGGGTGACAGTACGCTCCAAGACCAACAGCTAAGATTGAAATGTCTCAGTACCACGGCAAGCCGCAACGCTCTGAGTCGGTACACAGTGACCAGGTTATTTTGATTTTAGTGGTATTTTCAAGCAGCCCAAAACGGTAATTGTCTGTCTCCACTTGATTTTGATTACAACGGGTTCATGGAAAAAGCAGCTGGCTTGGTTCGTAACTATTGACTCATCAGATACTGACCGACATCAACGACAACGCTACAATCAAGATGTCTCATACGACGTCGAGCAGCCAAGCTCTGAGTCAGTACACAGTGAGTCTTTGAATCAGAGCTTTTGCTTACCTCGTCGCAAATATTGCAGTCCAATCTGTGAATCGTAGGCAGTTTCGTCCAAAGTGGACAAAGCATTTGATCATTGAGTTGACTCAGTCACCCGAGTCTTTTTCTTAGTTTTCTGTTCGAGTTTTCGAAGCAACTATACACAAAGCGTAGCAACAGATCATGACTCTCACATCACGCATTCGAAGCAAACACCCCAAGTCTGTCTGTTGGCAAGCCAACAAGACGACAAAAAACAGTCGAGCTCAACAAGTTGATGCATCGTCACCAAGCTTTGCGTCACGAATGATTCAGTTTATCTTTCACAGAAAGCGACGTATTACAGACCAGCGATCCAAGTCTTGGTCAGGACGACCGGTTCCAACGACTTCATGTCACCAAGCCAGCGCCAACATCGCAATCTCCAGCGTACTTTGTTGCTCGGCACCGTCTGCCGTACGATCTTCCGAGTCTGTGCGAGTGCAGCGATCACAAAGTCAAGGAGCTCCTGACAGCGGGTACAACGAAGCTCGATGGCGGCAACTACAGTCGCGCTGTGCCAACTGCGAGCGTCTTTTCTTCACGTCCCTCTCATCATTAACTGGTGCTGCTGGTCGATTCTGCTCACTGGACTGCAAGGCAAATCTCGAGTACATGAATCAGTTTCAAGAAGTGATGGATGCGACGTGGGAGAGCAGCGATAGCACTTGCGGATGGACAGATGAGGGTGAAGACGAAGACGTGGAAAGAGATCATCAAATGTGATCAAGACGCAGTTAAATAGGTATATTGAGCTGTAGAACAGTAGGCGTTTTAACTAACGTGACAAATGACGTACATGAAACATGAGAGACCATATTGTACAACTTGAAGTGGGCCCTTTAGCTGTCTCGGATAAGTCATTGAACTAGTACATAAGACGATGCTGAATACTGTAGTACAGAAATTGTGCGTCGATATAGTAACATTTATTATTCAAACTTATAGTTCCGATGTCCGTCTGGAGCAAGGAAATCCTCACCAATAGTCTCTTATTTCTTGCGCTGGCAATGCGTTTTAAAGTCAATAAGCATCTAGCAATTTTGCTCTAACGTCAACTAGCATCCGCTCAAGTCTAGAATTTTTACAACTATGCACTTGGCTCACTCCAACAGCCACAAGATATCTTTTGCAGTTTAAAAGCTGACGCTTGGCATGTGCATTGACGTTTTCAACGTCCACAACATTAACTCACAAAGCATTTAGTATGTCTCAGCATAGATGACTTGTGGTCTCTGGTTGCTTAAGCTGCAATATGAGGCTAAGATTCGCCTGCTGATCAGAGCCAGGAGCCCAAATATACTAGGCCATTTTTGAATGACGTCAATGTTGCTTTAATGACCGCCTCTTTATAAACAAGCGACCAATCGAAAATGGAGGTCCTGATTTTTCTTAGGTCCATCCAGTTTATTTAGTGTAACAGGGTGAGTCCGTTACATAATACTGACAATTAAGTGAAGTGTCAATAAAAATATTAATAAAACTAATAATATTTGACAATATTACAAAATATTGTCCCTGCATCTCCTTAAAGTTGGAAAAGCCCTCTAAATGGTTGATATAAGCCCTATATCAACCAGGGCGCTGGATAATGACCAATGAATACGCGCAATGAAGGGAGGGTAAGTTGTCAACACTCATAGTTGTAATTTAATATAGTTGAGGCAAGATTATAACAAATTAGTTTTATTCTGATAGTTTAACTGTATTTAATACAGTTAAATTTAAATAAAAAGGATATAAAATTGTTTTAATAAAAGATTAATTTAAAAGATGTTTTATTTGTTATAAAACGTGTTTTATAATCGGAGGGTGCCCCATTACATTTTGTTAGAAAAAGGCACGGTTGAAGTTACAGTTGAGGAAACGGCTGACGACTTAGAAAGGCGTTTGAGGATCAGTTGAGTAATTGATTGGACAGGTGCGTGGATGGGTGATTGATTGGACAGGTGCGTGGATGGGTGATTGATTGGACAAGAGTGATGAAGAACATGAAAACTAGTCCATCATGCTAGCACGAAAAAGATAACACTACAAACAATGTCAGAATCCTTTTATCACAGTGCCGCCGACTTCCTCTCTACAGCTTGCATCATGGTAAGCTAACAGGTTATGAGCCCAAGACGGGAAGCAAACGACGACACCAACGCGGCACAGGCGCCGCCGGCAACCGGTCACGAAAGGGCTACGGTCGTCTCTCCCACCGCTCACGCAAGGAGCCCGGAGCCTGACGCACTGGAGAGGATCCTCAAGATGCTCACGAGCATGGACTTGCGAATGCAGAAGATGGAAGCGTCCCAAGCACGCATGGACGAAGACGAGCGCATGCGCGGCGCTCACGAGAGCGAGCTGTTCCGATCAGAGCTCGGAGCGGACTTCGCAGGGCGACTCCACGGCGGAGCAATGGAGCTTGAGGACTTGCACGATAGGCAGTCTCAGCAGCAACTGCGGCGTGCACCAGCGCGGCTCGAAGACCTACGGATGCGAGCGGGAGAGCAGCTGCAGCAGCGTGCTGATCCGTTGCCACAGCCTCCTGCCCCATTGCCACCATACCAGCCGCCACCAGTGCCTCAGACGATGCCGGCAGCTCCAGGGCAGCCAGTACAGCAACGGCAACAAGTGATGCCGATGCAGTATCGCACTCCGGATGCCAGGCAGCGCAAGCTGGCGATCCGCAAATTCGATGGCACTGAGGTGTACGTTGGACTCGGGTCCGGCTTCTTCGACTGGGGCAAGACGTTTTGGCGCCAGGTCGACATGGCACAGGAGTCTTGCGGTTTCCTGTGAGGCGAGAATTTAAAGACTGACGTGCTCGGGCAGTACCTCACTGGCACTGCCGAGCGGTATTTCAGCAAGCAGGTCTACACGTGGTGGGCCGTGCTGCCTACATTGCAGTACGTGATGCAGCGCATGCTGGACACGTTCAAGACGACGATAACCGCCGCTCAAGCGATGAAACTCTTCACGGCGAAGAAAGAGAGCAATAAATTCTGGCCAGAACACTACTTGTATCTGGTCGCTGTCAGCGACGCTGCGGGCGGCGCTGAGCAGCAGGTTCTGAACAACATCGTGCGCTACGCCTCGTCTGAGCTGTCGACAATACTCATGGCGAAGTACCAGACGCACCGCATCGACTACCTCGTGCACGCGGAAGAGCTCGCGCACTTCGCGCAAGCAATCGAGATGAAGCTAGATCAGGAAGATCCTTCGGGAAGGAGGTCGTCGCGCACGTGGACGAGTCCGTGTCGCGCAAGGAGACACTCACTTGCCACGGGTGTGGAAAGGTCGGCCATTTGAAGAAGGACTGTCGCAGCAAGAAGAATGACGACAGGAAGAGGGACAGAGGCCCAAGAGACGGCGGCAGCATCACGCTAGCTGTTGGTGAAGGAAGAGGTCGCAACGGCTCGTGCGCCACTTGTCAAAGCCTGGCGATGGCGATTGGTGACGACAGCGATGACGAAGATGACGACTGGATACTCGATAGCGGTTCCAGCCGCCACCTTGTGAACGACGCATCCCTGCTGCGCGATGCGAGGGACTGCGATCAAGAGTGCCACTTGGCAGATGGAAAGAACATCAAATAACGCAAGTCGGAAGCGTCGTGTTGACCATGCTCGCGAGAGGACAGCAGCAAGATGTGACGCTGACGAAAGTGTATCTGGCGCCCGAGTTATCGCGCAACATCATGTCCTACGGTAAGATCGAGATCAAGGGTTTCGGGATCGTCTACGACGGCGAGTCGCGCGT